TGACCAGGATGGTCTCGATCTCTTGACCTCGTGATCCACCCGCCTCGGCCTCCCAAAGTGCTGGGATTACAGGCTTGAGCCACCGCGCCCGGCCTGGTTTAAGTTTTTTCGAAAGAAAATGTGGGACAAATACACAATACAGTCATCCTGGTAAATTCGATTATTCTACTATCAGTGTCTAAACCCTCCATCCTTTCTTCCCGGTGGGCTGGTTATGAAGCTCTTTGGAGATGTACAGCGCTAGGAATTTCTTTTTGTGTTTGTGGGTTTTGTTGTTTTTGTTTTGTTTTGTTTTTGAGATGGAGTTTCGCTCTTTTTGCCCAGGCTATAGTGCAACGGCGAGATCTCGGCTCACTGCAATCTCTGCGCACGGGTTCAAGCAATTCTCCTGCCTCAGCCTCCCGAGTAGCTGGGATTACAGGAATGCGCCACCATGCCCAGTTAATTTTTTGTATTTTTCGTAGAGACGGAGTGTCTCCCTGTTGGTAAGGCTGGTCTCGAACTCCTGATCTCAAGTGATCCACCCGCCTCGGCCTCCCAAAGTGCTGGGATTACCGGCGTGAGCCACCGCACTCTGCCAGAGCTAGGAACTTCATATGAAAAGAATAGCTGAGTATTCTTAGCTTTCTTTAGCAGAAAAAACTCGCGGTCTACAAACGTTTATATGCACATACAGAAATACGCACACCCTAGACAACAAAGAAAGCACTTTTCTACCTCAACGAAATGTGTCAATAAAAAATACACAGGTTTCGCAAAGGCCACGTGACAAAATCTCACACGAAACACTCGTTGGCGTAACAAAGGAAGCAGCTGCCCCCCTGAACCAACTATCTCCCGATGCTCACCCGAACGCGGTGGAGTCGCCAGGTCTGTGGAGCTGCAGGATCTTGCGGACGGAGTCAACCGAACGCGAACAGCAAAATTCTTTTCCCTCTGAAAAACAATTTACAAAGGTTGCCTTGAAGACTTATTTTCCAAGGCCTCAGAACCCTTGGAGACTTTTGAAGACGGGAACACAACGGCTGGAAACATCCCCGGGCGGACCGATACTGCACTTCCCACCCAGCTCCTCTAGGGCACCCAAAGTCCCAGTGGCCTCTCGGGCCTGGCCTCCCCCGATGGCTGCGCGGCTCCGGCGGACACGAAAGGGGTGGTCCGCACATCTCTAACGAGGTTCCTCAATCGCCCTGGATCGAATGTGACCTTTGCCGCCCCCGAAACACCACCCAACCCCCTAGTCTACACAAACCTCACCAAAGTACTGACTGACCAGAGGACACAAAGGAAAAAGGCGCCAGCGACTAAAAAAGAGGGCGGCGCGCCGCTAACGTCACTTCCGCTTTGGACGTTGGGGGTTGCGACTTGTGTGGGCAGTTGGCCAGGATGGGACTCTTTCGGCATAATTCTAGTTTTCCTCCGCGTGGGTGCGGAGGTATCAAGGGGTCGGCTCAGTGCGTGGGTCGGGAAGAGAGAAATGGGCTCAGAGGACAAGGTGGGGGCTTAAATCAGGCCTGTGGGCGGGGCCCATTCCGGGGGCGGGACTAACGGTGGGGCCAGACCCAGCCAGTGGCCTCGGTGGCGGAGTGGACTAGAAGGGCGAAACGTCCGTCGAGGGACTAGCCCCTCAAGATGCACATTAAAAACGTTCCCCACGTTCCTGAACCCCTTTCAAGATTCTCTCCAGTTGATAAACCTGCCAATCCATGAAACGGCCTGCTTCCTCCATTCGATCACGTCTTTAGAACTTCATTTTCTCTTCTTTTTATTTGACCTTGCTAAACTCTAATCATTGATTCCTTTGCGTTTTCAATGTACTGATACTTTGTGTAAATATAGCATTTTTTTTCTTTTTTCTTTTCTTTTTTTTTTGAGACAGGATCTGGCTCTGTTGCCCAGGCTGGAGTGCAGTGGCAGGAACACAGCTCACTGCAGTCTGCGGCTGAAGCCATCCTCCCACCTCAGCCTCCAGAGTAGCTGGGACCACGGGCGCACCACCACGCCCGGCTAATTTTTGTATTATTGTTGTTATTATTACTGTTATTTTGTACAGACGGGGGTCTCACCATGTTGCGCAGGCTAGTCTGGAACTCCTGGGCTGAACAGCGATCTGCCCGCCTTACCCTCCCGAAGTGGGATTACAGGCGTTAGTCACCACACACCATGCCTGGCCTTATTGTATTTTTTTTCTTCAACTATGTGTTATTATCTCTCAGATCTTACCAAATTATTCAAAGCCTCCTGTACTACATTATGAAATACCACTGATACCAAGCATTCTTCCTTTATTTTGTGCCCAAAAAAAAAGGCTGTTGGACTTGTGGTAGAGATTGAGTTGACTCTTCTGGTTATATTGGCACCTTTATAATATTGAGTCTCCCTATGTGTCAATATCTCTCTATTTAGATCTTTACATTCTTTCAGTAATGTTTTGAAATTTTCAGTGTACAAAAATTTTACCTCTTGGGGTAAAGTTATTCCCATGTAATTTATTTGGATGCTTTCGTAAAAAGGATCACATTCTCAGTTTTCTTTTCTGATTGTTCATTGCTGGCCTATAGATAGATAACTAATTTTCATCTGTTGCTGTTGTACTGTGCAGCTTTACGGAATTTATTACAAGCTCTACTAGTTTTCTTGTAAAGTCTTCAGAATTTTTTATATATCAAATATCACCTACAAATATAGTTTTATTTGTTCTTTTCTAATTGGGAAAACTTTTAGTTCATTTTCTTATCTAATTGCTCTGGCTAGAATTTTCTGTAGAATGTTGAATAGCAACAAAGAAATCAAACATTTGATTCTCCTTGATCTTAGGGAGAATTTTCAGACATTCATTATTGAGTATGATGTTAACTGTGTTTTCTTTTTTTTTTTTTTTTTTT